CAGGAGGGAGCTGAGATAGGAGAACAACTTCCACTTTTTATTCTACTCCTGTCACTCTGGTACCATTTACAATGTTTACTTTTTGCATTTAAAGAATGAAAAACATACATGTATGCATTTTATGCTGTGGACTAAAAAAAGGAAATAACATTTTCCAACCAACATTATTCAGCATTAAATTAATCAACAACCTTATTTTTTTTTTTAACATTTTAAAAGGACAAGTTTATTAGGAAAAGGAAAGGAGAAGCTACTTGAACAGAAAGAGCTGCCTCTGCTGCTTTGCAAAGGGAAAAGGTGTGTCAAAAGAAACATCTGGATAGTCATAAGCACAGGAGAACTGCCAGCAAATGGTTCTCAAAGTATGCTATGTAAAAAGTCCGGTATAAGGTATAGCTGAAAGATCAATATTTGGAAAACATTGCTACTCTAAGGTCATTAACATATTGTTAGAAAAAGCAAAGAGTGGAACCTGCCCCAGGAGGGGTAACAAATGGATGGGCAGAGTAGCAGAGATGACACATCATACAAAACATCGGCGGCTGTCACTGGCAGGAGTCAGCCAGTACTGGAAGAAAAGAAAAAGCTTGAAAATGAAAGAAAAGTTGCAAATGGGTAGCAAGTCATTAAAGTTCAAGAGGAAATACATAGATCAATAAAACAAAAACAAAAACAAAAAATCAGAGAACAGGCACGAGCCTGGCCCTCCCCGCCCCAGGCCTCCCACCCTACCTCCTTGTGGGCGGCAGAGTTGGACTCCCAGAAGCGCTGCACTTTGCTGAAGGTGACGTTCGTGCAGTCGGAGAGGCCGCTCAGAAAGGTGCCCGAGGACTGCTCGGTGAGGGCCGGCGTCACCTCTTCATCCATGGCCGTCTCTGGCCCCTCGCTTTTGCCCAGACGCAGGGATCCTGACTGCAGCTCATTATGCAACTTCACGGCATCTACGGTCAGGTCGCTCCTTCCTGAGAACCCAAGACACCAGGTTAAGGCCCCTACTTCTGCCCGTACCTCCTTTTGGCCAAACGAACAAAAAGCACCCCTAAGCAAGCAGTCAGCAGAGGACAGAGTCCCAACTCGAGGGGCGGAATCCTGAACCCGCCGTCAGGTCCACAGGCTGACCGCACGCGCGGACAGGGAACCCTCCAAGCAGGTTTCCTGCCCCGATGCCGCGGGGTCGGCTTGGGATGGGCACTCTGGGGGCTTGGGAAATAAAGAAGGTGAAAGCGCTTTGGGAAGAGCCGCGCACGGTTTCCTCTAACTAGGAGTTCCAACTGCGATGCCAGTGTTACTCCAGGCTAGCCATTTCCCAATTGCACTGCGTCCGTACCTGCCAAGTGGGGAGGGTGGCTCTTAGCGCAGATCCGACATTCCAAGGGGCGAGGGGTCCCGTGTCTGGGCGTCTGAGCCTCCAGAGAGGCCCAGCCCCACCCAGAAACCAGCCACGGACGGTGCCTGGCTCCCGACTCTGTTACCTGAGGGCCGGCTGAAGAAGCGGCTGCGGGCGGCCTGGCGGTGGTGGCAGGTGGGGGGGTTACTGTCGCTGCTGTGCCCCTTCTTCCAGCGTTTCAACTTAGCCGAGACACCGGACGGCAGCTTGCCGGAGCGACCCATGCCGACCTGGGCCCCCGAGCGCAGGGAGATTAAAGCACCGGCTTCCAGGCACCGCGAAACACGCGCAGAACCCACGTGGGTTTGCAGGTCTCCTCACTTCCTTTTCCTCTAGCGTAATTTCCGGATTCGCGTCCGTTACCATGGCAAAACGGACAACATCCGGCTTGTACCCGGCGAGCTCGGAATCTCCGGCGGTTGCCGGGAGACCCGCGGCCAAGAAGGAAGTTCTGTTGCTAGGGAGTCCCTGAAGCTCCGACTCCAGGTTCTTGGGTCACCGATATGAGCTTTATAAAACTGGAGATCTTTTCGTTTATAAACAGACAGACGTACCTCTACTAACTTTGAAAATCTAATTTCAAAAGTTAAGCGTAGAAACAAAATTATATTCAAGAGTTAAGATCTGGTCAGATCCGAAAGAGTAAAACCCTGTTTGGACTGAAAAGAAAAAAAGCAGCGAACGATGCGCTAAATTCTCGTGGCTATTTTCATTGATTGTTGGAGACGCCGTATTGCAATGCCTCTCTTGCCTCACGGCAGCACTTGATCGCTCTAATTAATCTCTTCTAATTACACTTCAGAGCCAGCAACCGATTTAGTACGGGTTCCTATTGCCCTGCTACCCTCCCCGAAGTCCTTCAGCTAGAACACAAACCTTACAAAGGCAGCGGAGTTCGGAAACCTCTGCAAACAGAGTTGCAGGAGTGGGAACATTTGTGAGAGGCAGAGAGTGATAGGTTTGGACTGATT